CACTGAGTGTTTTCCTGTATCCCTTGGGAATGTGATTCATGGCTGCCGAGTTGGTGATTTTGTATGAGAGGCATATTTCCATTTCGATTTTCAGAGGTTAAAGAAGACCAGTCTGCTTTGCGGAAGTTCCAGCGTGGAATCCTTTTTGTCGTTACTATTGGCATTTCGATTCCGATGTGGATTTTTCATATTCTACGTTGACGTCTTAGAAATTCGTTCAGAATCGTCGACTAGCCGGAATCAGTATCTTGTTGGTTCCAGTAGAAGTGAACCAGAGGTCCGGGTTAGAGTCTCTGTTCCAACATTTGAACCGAGAAGTTCTGGGTCGAAGAGCAAATGATGGTTCTCTGCAGTTGATCATTCAGTTAGTTTCTCTCTCGCGCTATTATCCTCTGCGTAGACCCACTGGATACGGTAAACATTGAAGTTCCCGACATGAATTGCGAGGTGAATTGTTGGTGGCATTGCCGGTGTTAACCAGATGTACGTTTCCGGTTTGTGTATATTTGTGAGGGTGATTTTACCGACCTTTAAAATTGCTATGCTGATGGCAACATTATTTCCTAGATGCAGCACAGCGATTGCTGAACGAAGACAGCGATTCCGTGTTTCAGGTGGTGTACGGCGACAACGAGCCTGTAACCGCTAATCGCGTAGCGTTGCGCTTATCTTCATCGCCAATGTGGGTTTTTTTTGTAGGGCAGAGGCACCAGTGTTTTAGTCTTTGGGTGTTTCAACAGACACTGACATGCAACAGATACTGAAATGCTTTCAATGCTGAGTTAATATATGCGCAGTCTGAAGTTTATGGTTCGCTCTGAGTGGTCCTGTCTGGAAAAGACTGTTGGGTTTAAGGGCAGCGTCTGATAAACCCTAAATGGGGTGTGTGGCTCAGGGTGGACTTTGGTATTACTGTTGGGTCAGGAAAGGGTCCATGAGAACAACACCACCACTGGGAGCTTAAGGTATGGTTGAGCGTTGCTATTTGGCTAAATTGACAACATCTGTTAGAGTTTCGCGGTAACAGGTAGACTTCATAAAGGTTGTTCTTATTCCATCCAGAAGCAGCAAACACCAAACAAGTACGGTGTGTCGTTTAAATTATAATCTCGCCAAAGCAGTGTACTGATTGACTCATGGAGCAGTACGTAGGAAAACTTCATGTAAAACAAAAACAGGATGGAAACTCCATTTGGCAAACAGTTCTTGTAATGCAACCCTTCAATCTTAAATTACGAACCCAGCCATTAAGATATTACTGGCGACAGTAAATATGAAATATTCGCGGTACAGGCAATGGATGAACAGGAGTATCGCGGTCAGTAATCTCCGACGACAAACGTAATTTCGCGATTGAGTGACACACAACTGTCACTCAGGAGTATGTCAGTGATACGCTGTTATTGTGCCTCAACATGGGCTTGAATTTTTTTATTTATTTCGCCTTGATTATGTTACCAACTTTGATAATGAAAAAATTGGACTGTCATCAAACCACTTCAATCTGTGTTGTACGTTTCGGTTTTCTAATGATGAATAATAATGTTTTCCAATTCTTTAATGAACTGTCAGCCCAGAATTAAAACCTCTTTCAAGTGATATGGTTTGGATAAACTAAGTTGCAGAAGAACAATTAGCAGAAGTAGAAGTCAAAAATAGTAGAAAGGTATGCATCTGTTTACAGGCATCAGAAAAGGCGACAAGTGGTACCAGGAGATTCGATTTTTGGCGAGTTATTCATTCCAATTTTTCTTGCCTCTGCATTTGAGGTATTTTCGTAAATGAGCTTCCTATGAATCCAACTTTGGTTTTAAGGTCAGGAAAAAATTAAAGTAAGGATCACATGCCTGGGAGGAAAATAATGAAGCACATGTTTTTAGGTTAACAGATTTAGTACACTCGCATTTCTGCCCATATTACACATATTAAAATATTTTTGTAATTAAATCTCGTTTCTGAAAATAAGAGTACGTTTTTTGATTACCATCTATTATACGTCTGCTTTGCGCAAAGTTATTTACTGAATAGTGCGGATTAGTCTTTGCTACTCGCCGTCAACGGAAATTATTGCTCCCCGGTAGAAATATTTGCGATTCGTTTTGCGGTAATGAGAATTTCAGTTCATAAATGGTCAAGTCTGCTTCATTCGAAACTTTTAAACACTGGCAGGCCTAAAGCAGACATGGGATAATTTTTTACGGGTGGGTCCGCCAATTCGGGCCGGCTTCTTACCGAAATATTCTCTTCTAATTTTTGATGAAGCGACACCTGAGCGCAAGACAGAGGGGACATTAGAGGTATTGTTCTTCAAAGGGACAGGTAACAGGGACAGGTCATGAGACTGGCAATAATCATCGTAACTTTTTTTAACGAACGACCTTATCGAGATGGCATTCAGCCACGCCTCAGAAGTCTCACTGCTCTCCGTCCGCGACTGTTTGTTTGTCGTAGGTAACGTCCATACCTGGAGATTATTCCTCTCTCCGCAACCCGAGTACTCGCCAGCATCTAGGTATACTGGAAATCAATTATATATGCATTTTAAATCTTGGATTGCAAGGTTCGCTTCAAACGTTAATATTACTTGTAGAATTTTAGAAAATGATGAGAGACAACAATCTTGTCAGACATCTGTATGCATGCGAGACGATGGGCAATGCGACGGCGATCTGCTCGGATAAAACCGGCACCCTAACGACCAATTCGATGACCGTTGTGCAAAGCTATTTAGCAGGTAGACCTGCTAATGTGCATGCAATCGAAAGTGTTGAAACGTCTCTGTACTCTTAGGAGAGCACTACCGTACGACACCAAAGTGGACGCAGCTGCCCGAACTGATACGCCATATGCTGCTGTATTCAATAAGCATCAACAGTGGCTACTCATCGCAGGTTGTCGTCCAGGCGAAGGAAAGTCATCAGATAAAACAACAGGGCAATAAGACCGAGTGCGCGCTGCTGGGACTGTTAGTCGAATTTGGCCAAAACTATCAACAGATCCGTGACCTGTTTCCTGAAGAAACCTTCGTCAAAGTGTACACGTTCAATTCGGTCAGAAAGTCGATGACGACCGTAATAAAGAAATCAGATGATCAGGGTGGATACCGCGTATTTTCCAAAGGCGCTTCTGAGGTGATTCTACAGAAATGTAAATATATATTGACCAAAGATGGAGAGCCTCAGCTTTTGCCTCCAAAGATGCAGAAGTACATCATTAAAACGGTCGTCGTGGCGATGGCAGCGGCGGGATTAAGAACTATATGCTTGGCATACAAGTAAGGAAATTTATTTTCAAACTTCAACAACACTTCAGACTTAATATTCAAATTGTTTTTGTTTAAGTTTCCATAAGAAATCTGAATTATACCACACACAATTACGCTTATAACAAAACCGCATTTCATCAGGAACAGGTTCTTGCTTGTTTCTTTCATGGCCTTGTCAATCTAGGCTATATTTCTAAGGGATCAATCGCCATTATTTATCATGTTTGCAGTTATCTTCATCCTAATCTTCATCTTCCATCGCCGCTTTTCCTTTCGGGTCGCGGAGGCAGACGCGTCAGCCAGTGCTTCCAACGTTCCCGATCCTCTGCCAGAGTCTGAGCTTCGGCAAAAGACAAATGCACTCTCGAACAGACTCCTTCTGTATGTTTGCATCAGGTTAATCTTGGCCGTCCCTTGGGCCTTCTAC